TCCCGTCTCTCGCTAAACACACTTGGATAGATGGAAAGGGAAGGAAAGAGATGACATTTATTATTTACATCTTGAACTAGATTAGAGCGTTGAAATTTTATTAAAAATAATTGTTAAGTGTTATAAAAAGGTTTTTTTTCTATGGACTACAGTTTGTTCCTTTATCAATGGATTGTAGTGTAGATAAATATTAACTAAACGTAAACACTAGCATATTCCCTTAAATCAATTTCAATTTGTTTTTTACTAACCGTATTAATTACGGTACCATTCATTTATCAAAAAAAATCCTCTTTCACTGGGTCGCAAATTTCCAGTAATGCAGTTGGAACAAATTTATGGCGTCTAATAAGCACTCAGTTGGTAATTTATTACAAGTCGGATACAATTTCTCCTTTCGTTTCGCTTCGATGCAACACTTGCCGTTGAAATTAAATTTGCATTTGTAATGTTCCATACGTGAACCGCGACTCCACACTCGACTTGAGAATACTAATGTTTTCTTGTGATTAGATTTGCACTTTAAATTGCTTTGCAATAATATTCCTTATCGACTTATAGATGCCAAAAATAACTAGAAGGTCCTTATACTGCACAGCGGATATATTATCACAAACTCAGTAATATTAATGTCAGGAATAGAGTAGTATTTTCTGATGAAACTGACCCTTTATGTACAAATAAATTTGCCTAATTCCTCATTTATACTTAAGTGATAAGTTTTAGAATGCAAGTAAAGGTTTAATTTTTAAAATAAAATATCAATTGATTTTAGAACAATGTAATAGTAGTTAAGGGGAGGCTGAAAACCACTGCAACCTTCAGTAATAAGTTGGAGGCCGCATCAGCTCAGAATTCCCCTTTTGACCAAGAACTGTTTTTTTATTTCATTACTATGTTTTGAAATTTTTTTTGGTTAATAAATATTATTTACTTTGTTGTTTGTTTTATTTATTTTTTTAGTTAACAACCTATAGACATTTTACTAAGATACATATTGTATTTTGAGGATGATATTTAGTAGATACTTAAAAACTAAAATAAAAAAGATATTACGTGAATTAAAATAAAGCTACTCTCCTAAACATAGCGCTATACTCCAGCTTTGATTTAATCTTTCCCCGAAAACATTGCAACCGCATTTTTCTCTGCACGGCTTACATGGAATTAGCATTTTCAGTGGAAACCGTATTCAAATGCAAAGTTCGCGGAGCCGATTCAAAACCGAAATTGAATCGTATTGAAGTCGTGAGGTTTTTGAATGCAGCTTTAGACTTCAGTATTTGTTTAAAAGTAAATTTGGGATTCAATACTTGAACTTTAATATTTTTTTACAACTTCATTTATGTATTACTAGCTTTCGTCCACGACTCCATGCGCGCGGATTTAAAAATAAACAAATGCAAGTAGCCTATGTGTTCCTCCAGACTATCCTCTACATCTATACCAAATTTCATCGAAATCCGTTAAGCCGTTTAGACTACAAACAAACATCCATCTAAACTTTCGCATTTATAATTTTAGTAAGATATAATTCATTTTTAATAATAATTCTACCACTCCTATAGTCGTTAAACGAGCAGTAAGGGTAACAGTCCAGCTACTCAAGAACTGTAGTGTCCGTCAACTAAAGCACCAGTTATGACATTTTGATATTCAAGAGCTACAAATTTAATTATATTTGACTCTAGTACCAACGTCTAACATACCCAAATCAAAGAAATAAAAAACGACACTTATGTACTCTTGCAAAACATTTTTAACAGGAAAATTCGGGCCGCCAGTTACTCTTAAAGCGATTTCAAACAGCACACAGACTGAAAACTGGAATAACGTTTATTTTCTGGCAAAGGGAATTAGTTCCTCGTCCCCGATAGAGTTGTGGCTTGTTTATTTTAGTCCACAAACAAGAATACGATATGTTTTAATAGACACTAGTCTATTGCTATGTAGGACGTTCAAATTTTAGTTTATAAAGGAAACGACAAAGAACAAAGGTATAGAAATGAATAAGTCATTACAGTTAAATTATTTTTACTAAAGTGATGTTAGGTATTGTGTAGAAAGAACGGTATGTATCAAGGATTTCTAACATGAATGTTTAGAGACATGCCGATGCGCATAAGCCTAGGAAATAATTGTATTACTTACTAGTTGATACGTTAAAAGGAAGTGGAAAAATCTTACTGGTATTTTAAATGAGAAAGTTTAGATGGATGGATGGATGTTGGTTAGAGTTTGTAGTCTAAGTTTCTGAAAGCATTAAACTGATATAGAATCCTCTACTGCTAGGTCTGGAAGAACGCAAAGGTTACTTGCTTTTGTTTTTTTTTTTATTCCATGTGGACTAAATCGCGGGCGCAAGCTAGTGGATAATAACAATACAAACCCTACGGTATTGACCAAAACTATAACGACATTAATAAATTAGAAAAAATAGATTATAATAAAAAATGTTTCTTAAAACTGTTCTTAAAATTCTTAAAACTGAAAAAATAGATAGTAACTATTTCTTAATTTTTTATTTTTATAACAATGGAAGTCTTACTTAAAAATTTCTCGCATCAAAACAGTGTTAATACTTGACAATTCTACGTTTATTGAATCCCGGTTAAAATATCGGTAGAAGCTTTCAACGAAACGTGTTGAACTCCTTATCTTCGAAGACTTAACCGTTACTTTCAGCAAATCCTTTTTGTTATTAAGTTATTAACTGCAGTGAACTCTTATCTTTTTACGTCACAGAATTTAGTCTTTTAATCCCTTAGTCTTCTATTTTTCTTGATAGATTTTTAATCGTTTAGTAAAAGCATTGTACACTGTAAAACGGAATATTTATTGTGTGCCTTGACTTGATCCTGCACATTCCATTTCAGTCTATCTCTGGCTACAGTTTCCCAATTTACTATCTCAAGTCACTCCGCATCTCGATTTATGCCTTCTATCTCCAAGAGCATAGACTTCCCTAAACGTCAAAGCTCACCATAACATTCTTTGTAAACTATATTTAAAACCAATACTTGAACTTCTACATAAAAAGAAAAAACTACACCACCTACAGTAGCAGTGTAGACACTAGTATTCTCATTTGAATACATAACCTTAAAATAAGATTACTTCAAAGAACTGAGTTTGCATGTAAACAGCACATAGCATGATATCCACTCACTTTCACTGCCAATAAATGCAAACGGCATAATAGAGAAAGCAAAGCTTATTGCAAGCGAATTACAAAGTTGTACAGTAATTTAAAAATAACTCGTTTACGTGATTAAAAACGTTGGTATCCAGACAGTATGTTTGGCCCTCTATACGTGTTTTGTTGCCTTTTATTTTAAATATTTAAATTTTATTCATACAGTAACTAAATCCACGGTTAAACGTGTAGTTTGTACCGATTACTTGCAGAATCGTTGGAAATTCTGCATAAGGGTGACTACTGGACTGAATTTGAACAAGACTCACAACTACTCTAAAATTAGAAGATCCATACACGGTTGTATTGATACTTTTAGTTGATGGCACAATTTTATAACATCCCAAATATGATGCAGTTAAAAGCAATACTTCGAAGGATAATCTTCACCTTCATTCTCTCTACCTTATCTTACTTCCGTAGTGTTAGCACACCGGGTTTTCGTCCTCCAAATAACTCTATCATGTGTCATTTGAGTCATCCCTACCTTCTTGATTATGTCACCTTTCACGCAATCCATTCATCTCTTTCTAGGTCTAACTTTACCGATGAACCACACTGATAACTAACGTCCTTCTTCTTACATGTGATTCAGACAGTCTTCACATTATATACCAGTGTTTTTATAAATTAGGGATATTTCTTAAGCCTGTTACATCAAACGTGACGTGGTAAGCCATGCCTTGTTTCTAAAGCAACCTTAATAAAACATCGAAGAGTTCGTAACTTAATTAATGTAACATGAACAAAGTTTGGCGCAACCGGTCTGACCTCTTGTATCGACAGTTTAATGCTATTACATTAGAGGTTTCTGAATGTTAACGGCGTCATTCGTAACATATTCACTAATGAAACGTTTTATTGGTAGTCATTTTCCAAAAGCGAGAAAAATACTATATTATGCAATATTTATTTAAACATTTCAAGCCTAAATATCAACTTTCAATTCAAGTCGTTGTTAACAATCTTTAATAATATATAAAAAATGCCCCTACTGCGGTTCAAAGATTGTACAAATAAAGATCCATTTATCTGAACGTATCAGCAATTTGTATCGTAACCTGGGGAGAAGTGATTTTGCCTTGTCCATTGTTGGTACAAATTGCCAGTTAGAAGTCAGTTCAAAGCTTCGCCGGACGTTCGTAAAGAAAGGTGAAAACACCGGGATTTTCTTCTTAAGAACGATTCACTTCGCCACCTAAATCTTTTGTGTCCCGATAAAACTGATGCTTTTATATTCGTTACATTTGCCTTATTTGAGACTTCTTAACTATGTTCCTTAGATTAGTTTCATGGTATTGAAATATTTTATGTTTATGTTATTACTACTTGATTTTAGTAGAAAATTATATAGCCTATATTCAGCAGTGGACAACCTTAATCTGACAGTCATGATGATTTCAATATCGCATTATTGAGAATTTCCTTGATTTAAAAAGTAATCAGTTATTTCAATAAGTCTGCATTAAAAGTTCATTCTAAGCGTCTCACGACCCGAATCTTTCCTTTCCGACATCCTTACATTTAAAATTTGACTGATTCTGTCATTTCGTTCGAATCACTTAGCAACTGAAAGCTTTTGCACAGATTGCAACATTAATTTTCATCGAAAAGTTCAAAGAGCGTGAATTTTTAATATCGCAAAAAGAAATATCTAAGATAATCTTCCACTGTTTAAATTCAATAGCAACTTGCGTTGAAATCCTTTCTATCCCTGACGTCTTTTTATTCTCCCAGATGTCGAAAAGTTACATTCAATCGGCTGACTACACCAACATATTTATTCTATGGAAAATGTCGATCACAGAAGCCTTGTCAGATTACAAACTGACAGATAAAATGATCAACAATCTGGATTAATCACCATCATAACTAGTTAGTAAACAACCGTAGGGTATGGGACATAACACCAAAACATCCAATTCTTTATTCGGAACACGTTGCAATGGCAACGAATGTTTTATTATCTGAATGCCAAAAGACATGTCACTGTCGATTAAGCCCCAGCAAGCCAGCACCCTCAAGCTTTTGTGGGTAAGTACATATACAATTAACATATATAGTTTGTAAGCTCTAAAACGTGCGCTCACTTTTGTCTAAACGTGCTTTTCTTATGAGCTTATATGGAGGTGCCCACACTACTCAATTTTTAGTTGTGCAACTAAACAGTTGAATTGGCTGGGAATTGCACAACGGTTGAGCGATAGTTTAGTCAAATGTATGCCCGCTTTAAATATACGATTGAAGTGTCCAATTTAAACATTGCATATGTTTTAAATTTGTTTATAATGAGGGTTATAATTACACTTATAGAGAAATATTGCACGTAGCATCTATCTTCAGTAGTCAAAATTAAAGTCAAACTTAATATAATATAGTTTAAATCAGATAAAGGTTGTTTAGTGACGTCTAAAAAATATCAAGGCCACTTTAAAATGTTAAATACTAGACACATCTTTTGCGTCCTTATAGCAATTTCCTTTTAGTACAAAACTATAGTGGTGTCTTTAACATTATTACAACCGAGATCCTCCATAAAACTACATTATAAAATTCATACTCTGCAGACAGTATTATAACCTCAAAGTGGTCATATTTAAATATAACTTTAGAGTTTAAACTGCCAGTAATGGCTGAGATTATGTCCCACTCTATTATACACTAGTCAACTTAATTACTGAACCGGTTACTGCGGGAAACGACAATTACACATTCATAATAATTGGACTAAAACTTTACAATACTTACGACAATCTTTAGTGGAATTTAATGGTGTACTTCACTTTAATTTTATCATACCAACCTCATTATGGCACTCGTTTTACTAAAACTTCTTTACTTTTAATGTTCTTCTAAAGTTTGAAATCTAAAAGAACTAAAATGAAAACATTCAACGTTTTCCAGTACCGAAAAGCAAAACATAAGTCATCCCTTTTGCTACTTTATTTTAATTAAAAATATATGTTCTTGTGCAAGTTTTTCGACGGATGAAATTTGTTGCATGTAGAATCAGCGAAATGGTGTTAACTAGAGCAAGCTACATCCGCCCGTGTAATTTCGTAACTTCAGAAATTATATTTTTACTAGCTTTCGCATGCGACTACGTCCGCGCGGAATAAAAAAAAACAAAAGCAAGTAGCCTATGTGTTCTTCCAGACTATCCTCTACATCTATGCCAAATTTTATCGACATCCCTTCAGCCGTTTAGGATACAAAGTCTAACAAACATCCATCCATCCCTCTAAACTTTCGCATTTATAATATTAGTAAGCTTATCTGTTTACCTATGCTTATTTATAAAAAAATTGTACATTCAACCTTTTTACTTTGGCAGTGGCTCTACATGTCCTTGTTAAGGGATGTGTTTTAAAAAAACAACTTCGGAAGTTATGTTGACATTAAACGCCAATAATTATAATGGCCTCCAAAGATGTGAATTAAAACATCAAAGTGTTGTCACAAATTTGCTGTAGTTTTGAGAGATTATTACAAGTTCAACCGAAAAGATTCATTAAAAATGTAACGCAAAAAATATTTTGCAGTAGCGGTTCAAGATCCTCGTCGCCGACGCCCGAAAGGGCGGTCTCCCTTCCCAACCTAGACAAATCTATACCAATATTAAAGTAAGTTATAATGATATTTCTGTTTATTCTGTAGCTTGTACAATGGTCTGTCTTCGGCGGTTACCAAACCGTTATGAATTAAAGTCCTTCGAGAATTGATAGTGTTATCTTAAAAGGCCTGAAACGCATCTATAGTTCCTCTAATATTGAGGGTGTCTATGGTCGTCGATCACCTCGGTGTTCGTTTATCCCCACCTCTTATAAAAAAAGGTTTAATAGTATTTACAAAATCAAATCGCAATTTACCGAATTTGTATTCACTAATAATTACATTTCGAAAATATAAACTAGTGTGAAATCAACTCAAAAGTATTTTTCGCGCTTTCTCTAAATAATTAATTGTATCTTTCAGACCTGAAATAGTAATAGAGGAACGAAGATGGTGCCCATACCCTATGATCATTCGACATTACATAGAAAAACCAAAGTCATCAGAAAAGTTTATGGCATTAAAAAAATGGTATAAATGTAATCAGGAAAAAAGAAAAAAGAAAGCCGAACAGAAAAAGGATATGCAAAGAGTACTCGCAGAAAAAGAGCGGATAGAAAGAGAGCGTTGCTTAAAAGAATTACGAAGATTGCATTCCCATCATCAATCTCTCTGCTGCAGATCACAATCATTGCCAACCTTCAGCAAATCATCCAAACCAGCAAAATCATGCAAAATAAGTTATAAAACTCGCGCAACCACTGCAAAGGACAAGTGAGTCATTTCAAATGTAACAATTGTTTATTTAAGAACATTTTTTCTCCTAAAATCAAAATGGCGGTGTGACATTTCCGTGGAAATCCGCTATCTCTGTCTCCCCTTTGATTTACGAGCATAAGTCTATGATTTTCTCCCAAATTGACTTGGTAACGCAAGTGTAATTCTACCTAAATGAACTAACTATATCAATCTATAAAAAACTATATTTCAAATACAACGGAATTACGAAACATAGTTTTTCAGTGCCACTTTTAAGGCAAAGGCAAAAACATGGCCAAGATTATATTCTTGTTTATTTCAGCAGGTGCAAAATCAAAAAACTGAAGAAAAGAAGAAAAGATGAATGTAGAAGAAGATCTTCCCCGTTCGGCTGCATCAAGTTCTGTTGCAATGTTATTTGTTGCTGCACTCTACTGACTATAGTAGCTTTGGCCATTATCGTATTTGTACTTTAACACGGTCAATGCGAACTGCTCTATCGACACAATCTTAGTCGCATTGAACGTGTTAAAAATATACAACTTGAATACAAAACTTTAAATTCAAACGTTAACCAATACTGTGATTTTACTTGTTAAGTTTAAACAAGATTTATAAACAAAACATATCCAAATTTACCTCTGTAAGTTAAGGATTGATATTTAAATACATGTTTACCACTGAATTGTTTCTTTTTGGGAGAGGAGTCGGATTATTTCCAACAGTCACACCGCTCTGTCCCCACGTGGGAACATATGAGAATAAGTTTCATCCGTCCCACCTTTTGCGACGAAGGGACGGTTGGAACTAATTTCATAACGGTTCCATCTGTCACCTTATTAGTGTTAGTGGGACTAAAAGGGTCGGATGACACGTTTTATTCTCATGTGGGGACAGAGCGGCGTGACGGTTGGGAATAATCTGAGGAGTCATTATTCTTTACTAAAAATATTTAAGTTAAGCATATTTTACTGCCTATTGTTAAACGATTACCACCACTATTGAAAATTACAATATCTATTGTGGCTTTGAAGTGCTCGAATACGCTCCGAGAGGTATGACCCAAGCTTAGATTATTCTTGACAATATTTTTTTGGGTTTTTTAAATAAATTTACCACAGTTTATTACCTCCTTGGTAAACGATCTATGCGTTTTTAAGTAAATTCGGTAAATTTCGACGTGATCACCGCAGACCTAGGCACGTCATGACTTCCAAGACGATGCAATAACAATCCCTCAGGTTAGGATTAAACATATACGCAAACAGACAACACGCCGTAGTCGCTGTCGACTACGGCAATCATTCCCGCGATACGGCCTTATAGCAGGCAGGTTTTCTCCTATCAATGATAGAAGCGTTGCTGGAGTTTCTTCCGCCACTTCTTCTCCCAGCGCTAACGCTTTCCGAAGTGGTAGTAATGTTAGACGTATTAATATTAATCAGATAGCAGCAACCGATCAAGTCGAGATTCGACCCTCTGGGCGCCCTTGAATCGGAATGCTAAACGCGTATTGAGTGACAGCCCAAGCCGAGGTCCCCTCTCGGGGGCCCTGGTGCCTACTCACTCCATGGAGCGTCCACCGAAGCGATCTAAGAGCTCGGTGGCCTCCCTATCCGGTAACAATCACGAAGTAACGGCTCGTGCCGAGGCTCCTGAGGGAGCCCTTGAGCTTAGTTACTCATAAACGAGGTTTAAGCTAAGCGCCATCTGCGCTCGGTCACCTCAAGCCCGGTGAATCTGTAAATCTTCAAGGCAAACAGTTGCCATTCAGTCACAAAAAAAATCGTATTCGTTTGGATAGGGAACAAAATAAAAGTAAAATTCACAGTAATCATGTAATTTTGTATTAATAATATCCAAATAGGTACTTATACCAATTCTAAATAATGTTACTTTATAAAAGTAATGCACAACCATGTTATCAGTTGGAGAATTACTACATACATATAGAAATATTAATCAACAATCTTTACTTATATACAATTATATTATAATTACACTCAAGTTAAATTTGTAGACCTGCATATGAATTATTTAATAACACTTGAAAGAATACGATCTGGTAGCAACAAAAAAAAATTAAAAAACCAGTTGTAAAATTTCTCAAAGCTTAGAGATGTTTTAATTGGTATATAGTATAAATCAAGCATTTTTTAGTATGGTAATACTTTGGTTATAATATTATTAAAGGGCAAATCAATACTTTTAGGGCTATGGCCCTTTTCAGTGGACTGTTACGCATTCGGTTTATATTATTTTCAATTCTCATTCGTATGTCTTCGTAGTCACTAACTACAATAAATCAGACAAACATTTTAGTATATTTTTTAATACACTAATCCTAAATATACAATAATATTAAAGTTACAAAACTAACATAAACAACATAACAAATTAGGAAAAAAAACTAATCAATAAAAGGCAACACTAGAATGTTTAATACACGAGTATTTCTGGTAACACTAAAGATCAGTTTCACGCAATTCGAAAGGTTGATCTGGAAGATTCGGTTTTTCGATAATAACTTTTTTTATTCCCGTACCCGTTTCTCCATCAGCACATCTCTTTCTATTCGGACTGTGTAAATTATTTATCTCTTTTAATGGCGACCGTCGATTCGATTCCAGCACTAAACTACTAATCGATGTTGTCAAATCGGTCGGCATGTTTCCATCGAGACAGTACATTAACGATTCGGTAATCGAATCGTTCGATTCCGATTTTAATATCGATAAATCGATCGGCGTCGCTGTTAGCACCGATCTGCTGAGTAAATACTCTCTGAATGGTTCCGATAACGATTTCGATTTCTCGATATATCCCATTTCGTGGGTTTTGATATTTGGAAGTAATCCATCATCACATAGGGTTGTATTTAAATCGGTTATGTTCCTCCTTTCATGGCTGACTACAAATCTGGTATTTTCAGACCGGAGTGGACTGACTTCGATAGAACCTGATCTACCATCGAATGGTATATTTCTCGATGATGTAGTAGAATGACCCGACCTGAAACCGATAATCGATTTAAACTTACTACCGACTAGTTACCATGAAAACGTTAAACATCCCTACAGAAAGTTACATTTCTTTTAGTATACTCGGTTAACGAAGAAAATATGGGCGTCGCCAGCTAATGATCTAGAGAGAGCAGTTACTAAAAGGAGAGGGGAAAAAAACTTTTTACTCTAAAGAGAATGCTTATCAACATGCAGTCCAGTCTTTTAATGTAGAACTAGCAAGTCTTTTAGGTTATCTATGTGGAATCTCTAAAGATTTGTAGGGACATTAGTATTTTGAATTAATTTACATATTTATTTCACAATTAGTTTTCGCCCGCGACTCCATCCGCGTGAAATTAAAAAAAACAAAAGTGAGCAGCCTTTGTGTTCTTCCAGAGAATCCTCTACATCTATACCAAATTTCATCGAAATCCGTTCATCTGTTTAGGCTACAAACTTTAATAAACATCCATACATCTATCTAAACTTTGCCATTTATATCATATTCATATTATAAATGCGAAAGTTTAGATGGATGGATGGAAGTTTGTTAGAGTTTGTAGCCTAAGCCGCTGAACAGATTTCGATGGAATTTGGTACATATGTAGAGGATAGTCTGGAAGAACACATAGGCTACTCTAGTAATTTTTAATTCCACGCGGATTGAGTCGCGGGCGAAAGCTACTATTAGTATAAGTATGATTTTCACTCTAAAATTCTGTCGACGTCTCATTAAAGAAAAGATAAGAAAAGGTTACATTTAGTTATAAACCAGTATAACATGAGCTCTGTTGTCATACCTGTCGCAAGAAATAGAGGATCTTGATATATCGTCGTCTGAAGACACGAAGTCGCTGTCGTTGGGCGAGCCGGCCTGGTACGCCAGCTGCAGCTTCTCCTTCTCCTTCTCCGGTTCAGGCAGACAATCTCTTTGCTCACATGTTATTATTAAAGGCTTCCTTGAGCGTGGTGTCATTATTGATTCCTGTATTACATTATTGGTAAAATTAATTAAATTGTCTTCATTTGACTATTATTTGGGATGTTACCTTAAGTGTTTTTCTAGACAAAAATTATTTTATACACAAATAGTCAATTTTAATTGGAAAATCGATTTTAGTAAATTAAATATGTAAATTACTCATATTGATGAGTTAAGACTGTGTAGTCAAAACTTTAACTTAACAGTTCCAGAATTACTTTACATCATCCACTTGCCCTTATCCCTTATGGAGGGTCAGCACAGTATGTGCTGCATTTCCGTACATCTCTATCGGCCGTCATATCTGAATTCACTCCTTTCTTAAGCATATCCTCTTTCACACAATCCATCCATACTTTCTTTGGTCTTCCTCTTCCTTTGTAGCCATCCACATTCAATCTCAACACTTTCTGGTTTATGTCCCCATCATTTCGTCGTTCATCATTCCAGAATTACTTTACACTGACTTAAAATTTTGCTTACAAGCACAATTTTAACTGAACAGTATGATTATCTAGTTAAAACAACTGAACATTATCACTTTAGTTAAATCTTACTAATATTATAAATGCGAAAGTTTAGATGGATGGATGTTTGTTAGAGTTTGTAGCCTAAACGGCTGAACGGATCTGGATGAAATTTGGCATACATGTAGATTAAAGTCTGGAAGAACACATAGGCCACTAACTTTTGTTTTTTCTACTTCTACGCGAACGGAGTCGCGGGAGAAAGCTAGTGGTTAAATAAAAATTTTAGAAATACATTTTTAGATGCAGTGGTTACTTTTTTAATTTTTTTAAAAGCTATGTTCCATTGATATTTAAAAAATATATTAAAATCAAGGAAAATCCACACATGCAAAAGACAAACCTGCATTGCTTTAGACAATTTTTGTGTTGATTTTGTTATCGGAGACATTGAAGCTCTTCTGAAGTTGACATACGGAGTACTGCATTCCTCGAGCACTTCCTCATTCAACCCCGGAGTGCTCGTTAAATAATGCATTTTAAACTCTATCTCTTCATCAGAAAGTTTAGATTTCTTTGGCGTTACATCAATCTCATTCTCCATAGATTCATTCTCCGAAGTATCCAAACATGACACACAAGTCGGCGTACCACGAATTGTACCACGTTTCTGGTATTTCTTATTTAGATTCTGCGAACCGGATATCACTTTAGATCTGAACAATCGTGTACCACGTTTTTTGGTATTTTTCGGTGTATCATTCTGGTCGATTATACTCAAATTCGGTTCGGATACGAATTTCGGACTCAATTTTTTCGATTGATTTAAAGCACCTTCGGATAAAGTGCTCTCATTGCTTTGGTCGGACTCGTAATCTAAGGATTCAGTGCTAGCTATTTTATTTGCTAAATTCTTTAAAATTATATTTTTATGGGTAACATCGACTTTACTATCGTCCGTAAATTTTAACTTTCCCTTGCAGGACTTCTGTAAATAACGCATGCGATTAGCACATGACAAGAAAGATAATTAAAAGGAAGGAAATCAGGACATTACAATGCGAAGCTACATTTTTTCAAAATTACTTCTAAAACTTCTAATACTTTTAAATGGCAAAATTGCGTTAAACATTGCATAAACTTGTATTAAAAAAAACTATCGAATAATTTTTTTTTTGAACTATGCTGTCAATAATCATATTAAAAAGGACTTTTCTTTAAGTATTTTTTTAAATTTCTACTTTATAAATAAGTTATCTATACTCATATTAAAAGGACGAAAGATGTCTTTTTGTATGTATTGAAATAACTCAAAAACTACAAGTGCGATTTGAAAAATTCTTTCACCGTTAGAAAGGTAATTTATCTGTGAGTAACATAGACTTTGTTTTTTTAATTGTTCGCGTGCGTAGTCGCGAGGAAAAGCTAGTTTATAATAAAATAATAGCATCGCAATGTAAAGTACCATAGACATGAAATATGCATTATTAGTTAGAACATACACAAGCGCAGTTTAGGGTGAATTTTGCGTGAACACACAGTTCTCTTGTAATCAAATGTACGAACCTCATCGACCGTATTGACGGAGGAGCCCTTTTTTGGAGTTTTGTTGAGCAAGCCCTTGTTGAAAATATGCCGTTTGATTGAATCACCGAAACTTCTAGAACCCGCCACTTTACCCGTCCGTTGAATTTGTATTGGTGTTCCTAAAACAATGGTAGTATTAGTAAAAAGATATTAAAGAATCATGTGGGTAGAAGTGTTCAATAGTTTACTGAGTCATTATAGGTGTTCGCTTTGAATGTACCAAAATAAGGACAAGTTCACACTGTGTACAATGTTAATTTAAATAACTCACCGTATCCATTCTGTCTATTAAAATGTTTGACAAGTCGTCTCTTGTGCGCGGAGTCGGGCAGCGCCTGTATGTGCGCGTATAACTGCGCCAGCGCCGTGTCTGTGGGGTTGCGGGCGTTCTCCATACGCGTACGGCCTCTGTCCACGAACGTGTATACCGTACTCGCTGCCGTCCTACAACACATTATCTATCTATACTATTATAATAAAGCGTAAACACACACTACTTTGTTGCCTAAGATGTCAGCAGTTACAGCATGTTTTTGAATAGTTCTGTTTTTAATAAAAAGCCCTACACTTGCATCACGCTTTAGGCTATATATTTTCAAGCCATTAAACTTAGACATAAAACATTTAATTTTGGATAAAAACCCTAATGTGGGAAAGAGACCAACATTAAGGAAGCAAGACTGTGAAGGTTGTTATCATGTCATATCATTTTGACATTTGCAATCGATAATTTGACAAATGTAACAATAAAATAAAATTTTCATAATTTCATGCGGATAAAGCCGCACGGGAACAGCTAGTACTAATATAAAGAGGAAATATTTTTTGTACGTATTCGATTCACGTAAAAACTTCTATAACTTATAGACCTATTTCAAAAATTCTTTCCTCATTAAAGAGCTGTGTTATCGAGTAACATAGGCTATATAGATGTTTATAAATGCAGTATGTTCATTCGCCTTTTAATTTAGTATGATTGTTTTTGACCGACTTCCCAAAAGAAGGAGGTATTCAATTCGTCGGTATATATATTTTTTTTTTTTTTTTTTTTTTTTTTTTTTTTTTTTTTTTTTTTTTTTTTTTTTTTTT